AACTGCATGCGAACCCTGCCACTGAGGCATTCGGTGGAGCTCTCTATGGGGCCACGGAGCGTGTGAGGGGTGTGCCGAAATGGGGCAGGGATCCGCTTGCGAACTTTGTCACTGCGGCCTTCGGTGGAGCTCCCTATGAGGCCGCGAACCGTGTGAGGGGTGTGCCGAAATGTGACAGGGAACCGCTTGCAAACTTTGCAACTGTCGTCTTCGGTGGAGCTCTCTCCTGTGGGCCACCAACCGTGTGAGGGGTGTGCCGACATGAGGGCGGAACTGCATGCGAACCCTGCCTCTGGGGCTTTCGATGGAGCTCCCTATGGGGCCACGAACCGTGTGAGGGGTGCTCCGAAATGGGGCAGTGAACAGCATGCGAACTTTGCCACTGGGGCATTCGGTGGAGCTCCCCATGGGGCCACGAACCGTGTGAGGGGTGCGCCGAAATGTGGGCGGAACTGCATGCGAACCCTGCCTCTGGGGCCTTCGATGGCGCTCCCTATGGGGACACGAACCGTGGGAGGGGTGCGCCGAAATGAGGGTGGAACTGCATGCGAAGCGTGCCAATGTGGCCTTCGGTGGAGCTCTATATGGGGCCCCGAACCGTGTGAGAGGGGCACCGAGATTGGGGCGGAACTGCATGCGAACCCTGCCACTGAGACCGTCGGTGGATCCATTTGGACTACGAACCGTGTGAGGGGTGCGCCGAGATGAGGGTGGAACTGCATGCGAACCTTGTCAATGTGGCCTTCGGTGGAGCTCTATATTGAGCCACGAACCGTGTGAGAGGGGCGCCGAAATGGGGGCGGAACTGTATGCGAACCCTGCCGCTGGGGCCTTCCGTGGAGCTCCCTATGGGGCCACGAACCGTGTGAGGTGTCCGCCGAGATGAGGGTGGAACTGCATGCGAACCCTGCCACTGAAGCCTTCGGTGGAGCTCTATGTTGGGCCACGAACCGTGTGAGGGGTGCGCCGAAATGTGGAGAATCATTGCAAATGATGCTGCATAAGGGCGATGGGATAGGATCCGTTCCAATGCCGTTTTGGCTCAAGACTCTCTCCGTTTCGCTTTCCGTGGTGGGTCCACTGCACGCCCACAGTGTACCACCATGTCAGCCGAAGCTTGGGTCCCCTTCCTGCAGTCGGTCGACGACGACCCGCTTCCTGAGGCGACCCTCAAAGAGGTCGCAGAGAAGCTGGCAGCAGGAGGCTTGAGGAGTCCGAAGGACCTTGAGGGCTCGGACCCAGCTGAAGTTGCGGAAGCGGTCGGAGGTAACGCAGGGTTGCGTGCTTTCGCGAGGCGCGTGCACGGGCGTGCAGCGGCGGCTGCTGCTGCAGCTGTTGCCTCCGCCGAGCACGCCATGGGCGCAGGAGGGTCGGAGGCTCGGGCTTCGAAGGACGCCATGCCCCAGCCGGAGCGTCTGGATCCCTCACTCGTGGAACTCTTCGGGTCTGAGGCCAGCGCGGCGGAGATTGCCAAGGCCATGAGCGCCAACGCTGACGACGTGAACGTGCCAGACCTCCTGAAGGCTGCGAAGTGCGACGGGCTCCCGCACCACATGCAGGCGGACTTCCAAGTGTGGACGGCGCTGGCTGCTGGCACCAAGGCGGCGGTGCGCGCCGGCAAGACACCCTTCACGTACGTGGACTTGACGGCCAATGCTGTCATCCCCGCGTGGCTTCCAGCCGATGCGGTGGGAGGAAAAAGCATAGGCCTGGCGGAGGACATGTGGGAATCGAGGGCCACGTCTTCCATCTCGCAGCTTGGCGCGGCACTGCGAGTGGCGACTGCATCTCCGAGGTGCTTTCGGTCGATTGCCCAGTGGTCTGCGGCCTATTTGCGCTACGTGCCAGTCGCTGTGGCAGTCGGCCAGCTGACGTGGGCGACGGCGCTCACCCACCATGCGACCATCGTGCGCCTGGCCGTGGAGAGCCGGGTCACTGATGGGGACTCTGTTCTGGCGGTTCTGTACGACCAGCTCCAGAGGCAGCGCTGGGCCAAGCGGGCGGCGCAGCGTGACCCAGAGCTTGACATCCCAAAAGAAGCGGCCGCGGTCAACGAACAGACCGTGCTTGCGGCTCGTACCCGGCTGGATCTGATTTCGCACCACCTCAAGCCTAAGGACGCTGGCGTTGTACGCGCGCGTGGCCCAGCTGAGGGAGCCTCCGACTACCAGTCCCAGGTTGCAGCTGCAGAGTCCGCCCTGGCCAAGGGCGCGAGCGCGGCGCAGGCGATCACGAAACGTGCAGAGCAGGCGGCCAAAGCCATGGCCAGCCAGCAGGAGGAGCTTAACAAACGCCAGATCGCATTGCAACAGCAGCAGCAGCAGGCGCAGGGCAGGCAGAACGACAGCCATGCCGGCAGCTCGCGGGATGCCAAGAGGAAAGCGTGGATGGACGATGCCCGCCAATGGAAGCAGTACGGGAAGAAGCGCCGTTGGGACGGCGGGCTGCGCCGTGCCGCCACTGTTCCGCACAGCGTGGCGCTGCGTAGTGACGCGGCGGGTATTGCAGGCACCTCGCTTGCAGCCGCTGTGGATGAGCAGCGCTGGCCGGGAACGGCGTGCAGTCATGGCGAGCATTTTCCGCCGCCGCCGGATGTTCTGGAGCCGTTCGTGCCGAACGGTGGTGGCCAGCCCAAAGGGCTTTCGAAACGCGAGCAAATCGCGTGGCAGTTGCGCCAAGACCACCCGCTTCAATTGGAGGGCGTTTCCCTCGATGCGGACCTGGGCAGAGCCATCGGCTACGAGCTCGCGCGTAGCGCCTGCGAGATCGACGCCGACCGCTCCAAGGCTTTGGCTTTCTGGAGCAGCAGAGCTGAGCAGCTACGCGATGCACAAGTCGCTTGGGCGAGCGACGCTGACCCAAGAATCCGACAGCTCGTGCTGGGCATTCACGGGCCCCTGATTCGTGAGCTCTGCGAGGCCATGGGCTTCAAGGACGTCGGCCTGGTCGATGCGCTGCCGCAGGGGTTCCCGTACGTGGGTTTGCTGCCCAAGACGCGCGAGGCAGTGGTTGACGTTGTGCCCAAGGCGCTGGGGCGTTTGGACATCGAGGCCCTGCGCAACCAGCGCTGGATCATGAACCAGCACATTTTGGGCAGTGTGCGCGCCACTGATTGGGATGAGGACATCTGGGCTCAGACGTCGGAGGACGCGCAGCTAGGCGCCATGTCTGAGCCAGTCCCGGTGGACCAGCTGGACCTTGGAGCGGCGACCCTTTCCAGGCGGCTGCCTGTGCGGGAGCAGCGTAGCCGTGGGTGGAAGACCCGCGTCGTGGACAACAAAACTGAATCGGGTGTCAACGAAGCATGCCAAGCTCAACAGAAGGTTGCGCACGATGGTCTGGGCGTCCTCGTGCTGATTCTGTTGCAGTTCGCGCGGCACGCTGCGGCCCCGCGCATGTGGAAGCGCGACATCCCCCGTGCTTTCAGACGGTTGGCCATAGCAGCCCAACACCTTGATCTCGCGTGGGTGGTCTTCTTGTACAAAGGCACCGCATGGGCTGCGCAGCATCTCGGGATGCCGTTCGGCACGACGTCCGCGGTGTACGCATGGCACCGCGTTGGCGCAATGCTGCTGGCCGTCATCAGGAGGATCTGCCTGGCGCCGGCAGCCCGTTTCGTCGACGACTTCTTCGGCTGCTCGAAGGGCGGCGTGTACTGGGCCGGCGGGAGGTGCCTCACAATCTTCTCGATGATTACCGGTCTCCCGTGCGCGAGGGAGAAGGGCGCAGATGACGTCCTCACCATGGTGGTCCTTGGCGCGAAGGTTGCCATGGACATGCTGTGCGCGACGGTCTCCGTGCAGATTTCCGGCGACAAGGCTGTCAAGTACAAGGCCATCCTCTGGCAGATTCTCTGCGATCGCCGCTGCAGCCAAGAGACAGCTATGAAGATGGCTGGCCGGCTGTCGTTCGCCGTGTCCGTCGCCGCGGGCAAAGTCGGCAGGGCGTGCATCAAACCTTTCTTCGCGCAGGCGTGCGCGCCGCTGCGGGGTGAGGGTGCGTCTTGCTGGCTGCTTCAGGCAGCGGCGTGGTGGCTCGAGTACTTGGCCGAGGTTCCAGCGATTGTCCACTCGGTCCCTGATGCCACGAGGCGGCACGTTCATCTGTGGGCGGATGCGGCTGGCGCAAGCCGCTGGTTAGCAGCCGTTCTCCGCGTAGATCGGCGCTGGCTGTTCACGCGCATGCAGCTGGGCGCGTCTATCTGGCGCCAGCTCCTCCCGCGAGGCGATCACCAGATTGGCCTCCAGGAGCTTCTTGCCGTCCCGCTGGCGTACGAGACGTTCTCCGACCTGCTGCGCGGGGCCCTTGTCACGGTTTCCATAGACAATCAGGGCGTCCTCCATGCGCTGCTGAACGGCAGGGCGGGTGCCGAGGACGCCAATCTCGTCGTCGGCAAGGTCTGGTTGGACGTTGCCAGGTACCAGATTGGCCTGCATGCCGTGCGCGTGGAATCCCATGCGAATGTAGCGGATGACCCAACCCGTGACGAGTGGTCCTTGCTCCGTGAGCTCGGGGCGGTGTTCAGAGCACCAGAGATGCCGAGTTGGGCGGCGAACATATGGCATATAAGTAGTTTTTAATAGTTGTTGGTGGCGCAGAGCAGTCGTTGATTGCATCGAGGAAGCAGCGGCCTGTTTGCACCTGGGCGGGCAAGTGCGGCCGCGCCGCACGCGCGTGCCTCTCTTGCAGCGGCCTCGTGGTTGGCTCGGCGTTGCGCCTTGCGGAGCCCGGGGCGGGGGGGGTCTCGCCGCAGTGTCGCCGGGTGGCTGGTGGAGCGCGGCTTGGCGGGCCGTCGTTTTCCGGCCCCCCTGTTGCTGGCGCTCTGCTTCGGAGTCCCCGGGGCCGCCGCCTGGCTCCCGACCCCCCCCCCTTAAGGAAGCTTGGGGGGGGGGGGGTTTGCCGAGAGGCATTCCTGGCCCTCCCTCCCCTGCGTGCCGGGTCGTTTGCCGCTGCGCTCGAGTGTCAGGGCTGCGGCGCAGCGCTCCCTGCCGGGCGATCTCATGTCCTCTCATGCCGAACGGCGGGCCCAGAGGCTCCGGAGTGCGGTCGTGAACGCCGTCTCTGCGAAGGAGTTCGAGAGGCTCCCGGGCCTGCTGAAGCAGATTGCAGCGCTGACGCCAACAGCCAGTCTGTGGTGCGCCACCGGCAATGGCCATCTGGAGGCCGATCGGCGTCTATGGGGACTCGCCGGCACTAGGTGCCAGGTCATGGGTCAGTTGTTGGCTAGCAAGTGGAAGAGCGCAGTCAAAGGCACGCAGAGGAAGAGAACGGCAGAGGACGTCATGACCAAGCCGCTCGGTGGCCTCAAGGCGCTGCCGTTCCTGGAGGCCGTCCGTTCCATCGAGTCGGCGCTGCCGGAGTACGTCCCCGGGGGCCTGGGCGAGACCGTCGTTCACCGGTGCGCTGTTGTTCTCGTCCTGCACTGTTTTCGCCAGGTGCTGCACGTGGAGGGCGTGGACATCAATGACCTCGACAGCCTGCACATGGGCCCGGCGGAAAAGTCCATGGCCAAGCACCTCGCGGAGTCCGTGGAGGCGCATGCGAAGAGGAGGAGGAGCTTGAGGGCGTCCTCCTCGCTGATCGGGCCGTCGTCTTCGTCGGCCACCCTGTCATCGCAGGGCGCCATTGCCCCTGCAGGCGGCCCGCCTGCTGCGGCCGCGGACGTGGCGGTGGAGCTGTCCAGCTTCAGCAGCGGCCAGTCGCGGGTCCGGCTGGGCGAGCTGTTCGCCGCGTGGGGCGCCGATGGAGTAGGGGCCACGCTCACCCCGAAGCAGGCCGTGGAGAAGCTAGGTATTGCGCGTGCGCAGGGTGGGCCGGTGCAGGAGTTGATGCAGGCCAAGGCTGCTGCTCTGCGCCTCCAGGCTAAGTGCGCCTCGCTTCCTCAAGTGGCGGCGGCGTTGAAATCGTGGCATGCCTTCGCAGTTGCCGTCTTGGGCGCCGCGCCTGGCGCGCACGTGGAGTCGTACGTGGCCCATCTTCCGGAACCCCTACACTGCGGCCAACTACGTCGGCAGCGTCCTGTGGACTTGCGTGCATTTGGGTTTGTCCACAGAATGGTACACGGAGGCCGTCAAGCTCACGCTCAAAGGTGCGAAGATGGTCCACGTTGCGGCCACTGGTGGCACGAAACGCGTATCGCAAATCATGAACGAGACGGTCGTGAGCCAGCTTGTGAAGTTGGCGCATTTCTCCGGCGAGGCGGAGGTGGGCATCATCTGGTTGCTGGCGTGGGAGTTTCTGCTGCGTGTTCAAAGTGAAGCGGTCGGCCTTCAAGCTGGTCAGGCAGCAGAGGCAGACAAGCTTCCAGATGGCCGGCATTCAGCCGTGTGGGTAGAGGACGGCCAGTATTTGGTTCTCCGGCTAAGGAGGCGCAAGAACAGGCCTCAAGGCTCTGTCTTGCGCCGTGCGTGCACGTGCCGCAGCAGCTCGATTGTCCCGTGCGTGGTCCACGCAGCATGGCGCATCCTGGCGAACAAAGCCCCAGGGGATAGGCTCTGGGCAGGCACGCCGGCGGTGCTGTTGGCCAAGATGCGCAGGTTGCTAGCGCAATTGCGTGTCCAAGAGGCGGAGCAGTACACGTTCAAAGCCTTTAGGGCTGGCCGGGCCACGGCCTTGGCAGCCGCAGGAAAAAGCGTTGGCTCCATACTCACAGCCGGCGAATGGAGATCTGCTGCCTTCCTGGCCTACGTGGACGAGGACATCGTCGACAAGGCCCAGCTGCTCAACGCGGCCCTGGAGGAGTCCGGCGGCGAGCTGTGAGGGAGGCCCGGCGGGCGACCTGATTGAATTGGCATGTACCGTCTTGGGGAAAAGTCTTGCCGAGTAAACAGCAAACCTGCTCCGGCCCGAGCGCAGGCGCGTTGGGCACGAGAGTGCCGGAGAGCGTCTCGCGTTGGGTTGCGCCGGCAGGGGGCGCAAAGTCTTGCGCTGTGGCGCGTTTGCGCTGCCGGGCACGGGCGCGGGCTGAGTCTGCCCTGTGTCGGGTGTCGGCGGCGTCGGGGGTGTGCGGTCGTTGGGGGTTTGGCATCGGGTTGTGCCCCCCTGGAGCGGCGCCGCCGCCCGACGTTGCTCGCCTGAGCGCGTGGACTGGAAAAATGGGCTCGTCCTTGGGGTCCTCAGTTGGGGTGGGGTGCTCGGCGACGCGATTCGCGATTCTGTGGGGGCTCTGCGTGGGGCAGGCTCCGTCCCACAAGATGCACTGGGGAATGCAACGAACATGTCGCGAATTTCGGTGTAGCACGGTCTGTGAAACTACAGCTCTCGCACGCCGTGCGCTCCTGAGCTGTCTTGCCCACGCTTCAGCGGAGAGTTGTCTGGGGGCCTTATGTGGAGAATCATTGCAAATGATGCTGCATAAGGGCGATGGGATAGGATCCGTTCCATTGCCGTTTTGGCTCTAGACTCTCTCCGTTTCGCTTTCCCCGCCCACCTCCCTCGAAACCGAAACGAGGTGCAAGGCTGCACTGGGCGGAGCCTGAGCGCTGCTGCGGTTGGCTCTTAGCTCGAGCGGCCTCGCGTTGGGCACTCGGTGCCAGAGCGCTGGGGTACGTTGGGCCCTCTGCCTGGGCGGTCTCGCGCTGGGCACTCGGTGCCAAAGCGCGGGGGGTACGTCGGGCCCTCTTGGCTCGAGCGGCCTCGCGTTGGGCACTCGGTGCCAGAGCGCTGGGGTACGTTGGGCCCTCGGCCTGGGCGGTCTCGCGTTGGGCACTCGGTGCCAGAGCGCGGGGGTGCGTCGGGCCAGGCTGGGTATTGTGTCCTGCTGTGCGGGCCCCAGCTTGTGGGTCCTCGCGTTGGGCACTAGGTGCCGGAGCGCTGGGGTACGTTGGGCCTTGCGAGGGAGCGCTCGTCGCGTTGGCCCGAGCCTGGTGGAGGGGGGGCGGATCTTAGTGCGATGGTGGTTTTGATTTTTCCCAGCGCGTTCAGGCAGGCGCCTCCGGGGGTTTGGCATGGGATTGCGCCCCCCTGGAGCGGCGCCGCCACCCGACGTTGCTCGCCTGAGCGCGTGGACTGGAAAAATGGGCTCGTCCTTGGGGTCCTCGGTTGGGGCGGGGTGCTCGGCGACGCGATTCGCGATTCTGTGGGGGCTCTGCGTGGGGCAGGCTCCGTCCCACAAGATGCACTGGGGAATGCGACGAACATGTCGCGAATTTCGGTGTAGCACGGTCTGTGAAACTACAGCTCTCGCACGCCGTGCGCTCCTGAGCTGTCTTGTCCACACTTCAGAGGAGAGTTGTCTGGAGGCCTTATGAGGGTGGAACTGCGTGCGAACCCTGCCACTGGGGCCTTCGGTGGAGACCCCTATGGGGCCACGAACCGTGTGAGAGGTGCGCCGAAATGAGGGTCGAGCCGCGTTCGAACCCTGCCACTTGGGCCTTCGGTGGGGCTCCCTATGGGACCACGAAGCGTTGCATTGGGTATGCCGAAACGGAAACATGCGGAGGGCAGAGGCAAGGAGGGGGAGGAGGGAGGAGGGGGAGGAGGGGAGGAGATGAGAGGAGAGGAGAGGCAGGAGGCGCGGGGCGCCGTCTCTTCAACAGGAGGACCCACAACGCAGGAGGGTTGGGAATCAAGGGGTGTGGACGATCTGGGCCTCTTGGGCCGCCTTCCAGGGCTTCCCGAAGGGCCCAAGGAGCGCCCAAGAGGACTCCACGACGGTCACCAGGGCCATCTGAAACCATACTCCAGATTTCGTAATAAAGGAAAGAGCGTGTTCTACCGCTGCTGGCGGAAAACCGGGGGGGGGTCACTACCGGTTCGAACCCCTCCCCCCCCCCCCCCCTCCAGAAAACTGGGGGGGGGTCACTACCGGTTCGAACCCCTCCCCCCCCCCCAGCTCATCATGAAAAGGGGGGGGGGTCACTACCGGTTCGAACCCCTCCCCCCCCCCCTCGAAAACCGAGTGGGGGTGCGGACAGAGGTGGGGACGGTGTTGGTGGGACAGTGGTGAGGGGACAGCGGGACAGTGGTGGGGACAGTGGGACAGTGGGACAGTAGAGGGCCGGTAGTGGTGGGGACAGTGGTGGGGACAATGGTGGGAACAGGGGGGACAGTGGACAGTGGTGGGGACGGTGGTGGTGGGGACAGTGGTGTGGGCACAGTGGGAATGAGGTGGAAACAGTGGGACAGTGGAGGGTACAATGGTGGTGGGGACAGTGGTGAAGGCGGTGGCGAGGACGGCGGTGGGACAATGGGACAGAGGTACAGTGGGGACAATGGTGGGGACAGTGGGGACAGTGGTGGGAACAGTGGGACAGCTCAGTGGGACAGCGGCGGAGTCAGTGGGACAGTGGGGACAGTGGGGATAGTCGGGCAGTGGTTGGGGCCGTGGAGACAGTGGGGAAGTGGAACCGTGGTGGGAACAGTGGTGGGGACAGTGGGGACAGTGCGACAGTGGTGGGGGCACTGGTGGGGACACAGCGGGGACAGTGGTGGTGAGGACAGTGGTGCTGGGAACAACAGTGGAGGATGTGATGCGGACGGTGGTAGGGACCGGGAGTCGTTTGCTGGCGGTGAGTGGGGGGGTAGGGAGGGGTTCGAACCGGTAGTGATCCCCCTCCGGTTTTCGAGGGGGGTGGGGGGGTTCGAACCGGTAGTGACCCCCCCCGGTTTTCCGGATCCGGAGGGGGGTGGGGGGGTTCGAACCGGTAGTGACCCCCCCCGGCTTTCGAGGGGGAGGGGGGGGGGGGGGAGGGGTTAGGGGAAGGGGAGGGGTTTTGCGGGGGGAGGGAGGGGTGGGGGGGGGGTAAGGGTGGTATCTTTGTGTAGGTGGCTTGTGTGTGTTTCCTGGTTTCTCATTTCCCTCTGCTGTCTCCCTCTCTCTCTCTCTCTCTCTCCTCTCGTTCTTTCTGTCTGTATTAGTTTTTCGTTTGCTTTTGATTGGATTTCAATGAAAGGAGAGCGGAGCCCAGATCCAGAGGATTTCTATTTGGATTCTAATTAGATTCCAATTGGATTTCAATAGAAATGGAATGGATTCCGCATCCAGAAGATTCTATTGAAATCCAATGAGATTTCAATAGGATTTCAATCGAAAGAGAACGGGTCCCAGGTCCAGAGGATTTCTATTTGGATTCTAATTAGATTCCAATTGGAATTCAATAGAAATGGAATGGATTCCGCATCCAAAAGGTTTTATTGAAATCAATCAAAACGCTATGTTTTCCAATAGTTCCAATTATTTCCAATATTTTCCAATAAAAACGCTGTGTTTTCTAATTTTCCAATGTTTTTCAAGGTTTCGGGTACGGCAACGCTGTGTTTTCCAGCTTTTTATTTAAAAATCAATAAAAACGCTGCGTTTTCCAATTATTTCAATGAAAAATCAATAATAACGCTGTGTTTTCCAATCTTTTTAATCGAAAATCAATAAAAACGCTGTGTTTTCCAATCTTTCTATTAACAACTCAATAAAAAAACGCTGTGTTTTCAAATTATTTTAATGAAAAATCAATAAAAACGCTGTGTTTTCCAATCTTTTTCAACAAAAATTAATGAAAACATTGTGTTTTCAAAAAATTGTAATTATTTCCAATATTTTCTAATAAAAACCTTGTGTTTTCCAATTTTCCAATATTTTTCAAGGTTTTCCAGCAAGGATCGCGCGTCGCCCCGTTGCCGTACCCGAAACCTTGAAAAATATTGGAAAATTGGAAAACACAAGGTTTTTATTGGAAAATATTGGAAATAATTGGAATTATTGGAAAACACAATGTTTTATATTTTTTGTTGAAAAAGATTGGAAAACACATCGTTTTTATTGATTTTTCATTAAAATAATTGGAAAACACAGCGTTTTTATTCAGTTTTAAATAAAAAGATGGGAAACACAGCGTATGTATTGATTTTCGATTAAAAAGATTGGAAAACACAGCGTTATTATTGATTTTTCATTGAAATAATTGGAAAACTGAGCGTTTTTTTTTTTTTTTTTTTTTTTTTTTTTTTTTTTTTTTTTTTTTTTTTTTTTTTTTTTTTTTTTTTTTTTTTTTTATTGATTTTTTTTTTGAAAAACACAGCGTTGCCGTACCCGAAACCTTGAAAAACATTGGAAAATTGGAAAACACAGCGTTTTTATTGGAAAATATTGGAAATAATTGGAATTATTGGAAAACACAGCGTTTTTATTGATTTCAATAAAACCTTCTGGATGCGGAATCCATCCCATTTCTATTGAATTCCAATTGGAATCTAATTAGAATCCAAATAGAAATCCTCTGGACCTGGGACCCGTTCTCTTTCGATTGAAATCCTATTGAAATCTCATTGGATTTCAATAGAATCTTCTGGATGCGGAATCCATTCCATTTCTATTGAAATCCAATTGGAATCTTATTAGAATCCAAATAGAAATCCTCTGGATCTGGGCTCCGCTCTCCTTTCATTGAAATCCAATCAAAAGCAAACGAACAACTAATACAGACAGAAAGAACGAGAGGGAGAGAGAGAGAGAGAGAGAGAGAGAGAGAGAGAGAGGGAGACAGCAGAGGGAAACGGCAGAGAGAGAGAGAGAGAGAGAGAGCGAGAGAAGGAGAGAAAGAGAGAGAGAGGGAGAGAGGGAGGGAGGGAGAGAAGAGAGAGGAAGGGATAGGGATGGACATGATTATAAATTATAATGACGATGACGACGAGGAGGGAAGAGGAGGAATACTATTTTTTAGTAGACACACACAAAGCGCAACCGCGCGACCCCAATCAGCGCGGCGACAGTCTAGCACTGGCTCATCATAGCCTCGGCCGGTAGCGCCGAAGATGCTTTGAGG